AAAAATCCTCAGATGGGAGTCTTCGCCTGCCCATTGTCTTCCTCATACATGCCTTGAATACGCCGATCATTCGCTCATAAAATCCTCCTTTCCAGGGGGAAAGGGGCGTAATGAATTTCCACGTTATGGTTTCATTTGCGAGAAATCCGTTCAGGATGTTTGTTGCAAAGATATTTTGAAGACACTCTTTCTCGTTCTGGATGATCATTTGATGCCCCATTTTGAAGTTGGTCGCGTTATCGGATATGACCGTTCGTGGTCTTCCACGCCTCGCTGCGAATCGTCTCATGCAATTTATAAAACACTCGCCGCTCAACCCTTGCAATACCTCCAAGTGTACGGCTCTTGTGCTCATACAGGTAAAGAGGCACACCCATCGCTTTTGCGGAAACTCGTTTGTCGATGATGAGGAAAGGACCTGCCAGGTCCACTCCTACGCTCTCGAATACTCGCGATGGGGTGGCTCGAGAGCGAGGGAGCGCAGGGGAGTCTGGGTAGTGGTATGCTCTCGAATTCCACCTTTTGCATGAGGAACATAGCCTCAGCGTTTCTGCGGACTACCTGCCTGCCTTTAGGTATCCAGAATCTAAGTCGTAGATTGGCTAGGGTCGAGTTCACCCCTTGATGACCTAATCTTTCGTGAGTGTCGCGTATAAGTAAAATTGTATATTTGTGAGTGGGAGGCAATAGTATAGGATTGATGGTGTGTAAGTGGTAACGATGAATGTGTGAGCCTTCCATAACAGCGCATTAATCCGTTGGAATCTTTTGAAATGTTGAGATGTTGGAGTTTCGAAGAGTTGATCGTGCGCTGTGCTTGCTTTATGCATACGCTTTCAGCTGCTCCAGTGTCTTGAGACTGGATAGTAGTTAAAGGTTTGAATGTTGAAATGTGTTGGAGCTCAGGTATTGAATTCAGGACTTCGTCTTGTCTTGCCTTTGGAAAGGCAGTTCACTAGCTTCAGTTTGACGAACTTGAGCACGAGGGCCATAGAGCGGAGAACTTTACGAAGTGATGATAGCCTTTCGTAAGGCCATTCTGTCGAGTATTCTATAGTGCTTGTTTGGAGTGTCGAGCAAATGAGAGCCCCGTTCGAGCATTCTGAAGTATCACCGTGACGGTGCTCTGCGTGAATTCGTTCTGTCGGACGGTATGTCACCGACTGGGTCCATGCAGATTCTTCCTTCATCAAGAAAGGTGGGCCCTTCCACCACGAGTGATTTAACAGTTCTTCTCCAGATAGACCACGAGTGGCGCAATCGGCTGGATTTTCATCGGATGAGATGTAGTTGAAATTGCACGCTATACCCTTTCTCACTAAGGTAGGAGTGTATGGATCGCACTTTCAATGTTCCTGTTCTGAATGAATACACCTTTTGATTTCTCGGAATGAACCCAGCCAAGAGCTATTTGGGAATCTGAATGTACAATGACTCGCGAAATTGCCAAATCTATTTCGTCGCATATGAATTTTGTTAGTTGCATACCTATTTGCAGAGCGACAAGTTCGAGTTTGGGGATCGTGATCTCAGGATTGGAATTCAACTGTTTTGCTGGTGTGAGCCTATGTCGAGCTATTATCAGGTTTGAATAAAATCGTCCCTCGGAAGTGCGTGATCTGAGATATACACAAGCTGCAATGGAGTGGGATGAGGCGTCTACAAAGGTCTGTAATGTGTGCTCGATAGTGAACTTAGGCGAGGACAATTCTCTCGGCACCCTTTTCTCAAAGCCTTCAGTCCTTGGCACAAATTGTTTTCCATTTCATTTCATCCACTGTCGATAGAGGTGTATCCCAATCGTATTCTTTTCTCCAAAGCTCTTGAAGGAAAATCTTAGCGGGAGTGAACAAGGGAATCAGAAGACCCAGAGGGTCAAATGTTGCATGCACTTGTTGAAGAATTCTGCGTTTAGTAGGGTGCCGTGCGTAAATCAGTTTGGATTGAAGTACGAATTCGTCACTCGTAGGATTCCAGCTTTGACCAAGAATTTTGTACGAGCTCTGCTTAGAAAGGTCTACCGTGTCGATTGTTTTGTTGCAAT